ATACTACGTATATTTTCTATAATATATACCTATGGTTGTCATTTGAAAATGTTTCACCTTCATTTTGTAATAAATTCCATGGTTCTATACTTGATTTCTATGAGATTAATTTCGGATGCATGTGAATTATAATATTATCATTCGTTTGAATTAAAATATTTTCGGATATCGTACATCGGAATTCGGATGCATGGGACACCGGCCTTACTCATGGAGACTAGTCTCCCTGGCCTTACTTAATTTCTGGTTGTAATGTGGCACGTGGTCTAATTCTGAGTCAATGTTTTTACAACGTGCTTATTAGAAGAATTATGCGGATATGCCACGCTTTTCGCGCATTTCCCGGCTCATGAGATTTTGAAACTACTCTACGAGTAGTTAGGGATGTTCTGTGGTTACGACATAGATAAGATATACTATGTAAGAAATAGATAGGCAACTCAATGAAGAAATGCATTAAATACGCCATCGGTGTTTGGAGTAAGAAACACTTTCAAGCTTAATTATTGCACATACGGGGGGTATAAGATAAGTTCATTGGGTGTAAAGGGGCATACGATAACTTCTCATTATACTCGTAAGGTGATTCGCAAACACTGACCAAAAATGAAACCTCGTATTCTTTAATGAATTTTAAGAGGGCTCTTTCGTATAAAGCTTTTATCTAGGAAGTTTCGTTAAAAAAATACAGGGTATTAAAATTTAAAAAATATTTAAATTTTTTACAAATAATAAAAATTAAAAAATAAATGCTGCAGGGTATTGCTGGAATATTTGTCTAAATAAAAAAGTATGCCGCTGCTTTATTGTAACAATCATGATATTTTCGCATTCCTCTTCCAATTTTCTACAAATTACTATTCTTTTATATTTTTCCAAAAAAGCCTGATTTCCTGAGTAAAACTTAAAAAATAAACTGAAGACACACTTCGATATTTGAATACAATGCTGTTTAATCGTTACATTAGTAGGTTGTGTTTGCGCAAATTGAGGTATTTTTGAGCATTTACTCAAATAAAATCATCTATGAGATGTTCTTTATTCGATTAAATAATAGATTAACAAAAGTGTTTCTATTGTAATTTAAACAATGTTTTCAGTTCAACGAAAATGTTTTTTTTTCGAAAAACATAAAGCGGTGGTGATTTGTAGAAAATTGTAAGGAGAATCCGAAAATATCATAATAATGCCCTGTATCTCAGCCACATTGTTTTTTAAGAAAATGCTTCCGATTTTGTACAATATTTACATACATTCATGTGATTATAATTTCAAATTATTTCACTCATTAGTTTCTAAAATGTTATAAAAAATTAAAAATATTAATTTAACACTGGATTGTTTTAGTGAACCGACCTAGACAAAAACTTTATATGAAAGACCTACCTTAGAATTCACTAAAGAATTCGAGATTTCATTTTTTGTCACTGTTTGTAAATCACCATGTAGTTCATTTGTAAATTGATATCATTGGCAATATTTCACATATAATTTCTTCATTCACATTATTACATTTTCTGAAAATTCTAAAATTATATTGTAACGTATGAAGTTCCGGCGTCAGCTGTTAAATTTCAAAATTAATGCTAACAGAGGGCCTTTCGATTTGGCAAAAATAGTAGCTATCAGTTGCTAATAGCAACTTATACTCGACAGCCAAAATTATAGTCCGTTTACAACCACTAAAAAAGCATTTCCCTATTTCCTACCAAGTGCAAAAGACAGAGATAAAATATAGATCGACGTTCAGTGTAACTCAATCTATACACGATTATAGATTCTACCGATGTGCATGGCGAGCGGCACAAAGTTAAATAATATTGAACCGTATAGAAATCATTTTATATTTTATACGCATTATGGTAATAGTGTTTTTATATTATGTATTAGTCACTCTTTATAATTTCGGCCGTCGAGTATAGAGTTACTCTGAACTGATATTAGTAGCTAATAGGTACTATTTTTGCCAAAACGAAAGCCCCCCAGAGACAACAGAAAGTTATTTTGTCTCTTTCTAAAAAAGGACAGACACATATCGCTGTCCTCTCGGGCTCTGGAGTCAAGTAGTCGGGTTAATTTTTAATCTCTTACCAGTAAAGTTGCCTATGTGTGGGTTACGAGTTACGAGTTACAATCTTAGAGCATAGACTCCTGGAGGCAGAGGTGTCTCTAACCCCATTAGTCACAAATTAAACGCCAAGGGGCTTGATTTTTGAAAACAGGAGAACTGATTCTCCAGAGAAAAAATTCACCTGACAAATTTCTCTTAAAAACTTAAATACTTATTTTTGAACGTTGAAGGAATCCAATTCTCTAGAGAATTTAATTTATGCCGTATGTCGAGGATATATTTGCAACTGACCAATCAGCGGGCAGAGTTTTCTTCAATATTTCAGTGCCATTATTGGCGACCCTGATGTTTAGTCACTTGATTTGATTTTGAAGTTTGTTTTGTAAATGTCATTATATTCGTCAGGGAGACTAGACATCTCCATGATATTCGTAGTAATTTAATATAACTTCAATTTGAATAGAAGTATATTTGAAAACACAAAAAATTTAATATTATTATAATTATGATGAAGCGTTCGTTCACGTCGAAAGCGCAAAAAAGAAATTAATATGCTTAGAAACAACGAAGAACTTTTTAAAATGAAAGTTTTCTTCTACTTTCACTCACAAAAAGGCCCAAAAACAGTGGTCAGATATTGCTGAAACTTTAAATGGTTTAATTAATGTTGTCGCGGATGGTTTACAATTTCTGCAGCTTGCAAATTATTCATTATATTTAGAATTAATAATAAATTATTTGGATCCATTACAAATTTC